AGGCAGTTTGCTAACTTTTGATCCAGTGATCAGAAAAAGATGAAATATAGCTCATTGGAATCGTCTCAACATGACGAATCTAATGGTAGTAAAATTGCATCTCTATGATTAATAGTTAATAAGTAATTAAATAAACTATAAATGATACATTTGGTTATTTGATACAAAAAAAATCATATTGGTGTAATTGTGAATAAGAAACTGTCATATAAAAGTTATGTAAATTCTCTTTAATTAGCCAAATCTATTTTAAAAACAAGTAGACTAATAGTTTAATCAGACTTTGCTATACCTTATAAAAGATAATGTGAATATTCATATGATATTTAATGAGGTGGAAATCCGTGGAATGTAATAATAATTTAATAATTCCCATTATAAGAAGTAATTATTAGCAATGCCATAAATCTATTTAAGGGGATGGCCAGAAATTACGTAATTTGATTTTTGAGTTTTTTACCCCCCCTCCCCCCCTCTGTCATCATTTCCAAATAAAGAAATCATACAATCACGTGATATGTTAAAAAGGTTTGACGACGTAAATATTTATCTCTCTTATTTATTTTATTGAACGCGTATATTTTATAAATTTAACAGTTTAAATAATGAATTTTATATTTTTGTTTCATAAATTCAATGTATTTTATTTATCATTAAGCATCTGTAATACATGATAATTAAATGTAAAATTTCCTTATTTCTAAAGTTTTACTATTGAATTAATTATGTTTGTAATTTCGTGGCCTACCTCTACCTCTTTTTGTTGTCTTTTCTTTTTGAAGTTCCTGTGAAGTATTATCATTTGAATTCTCGTTCTCATCATCTTGTGTACTTTCTGCATTATATTCATAATCCTGTTGCAAATATTTGGATGCTTCAATAACAACATTTATTGCTACTCTTTCTACTGGTACCCTTTCACCTGAATGAATTGTTTTAGTGTGTTGCTTTAGAAATGCTTTGGATGGGAAATATCTAAAGTATTTTCGACATGTTAAACTGTGATATAAATCTGAAGTGATGCTAGGACAGTGCTCATCATAGCCCGGCAATTTTTCTCCAAAATACTCCAGAGTATGGATTAAATTTAAAAAATGTCCATCATGACCTTGTATAACGGGTGGTAAAAAGCCATTGTTTGCGGATAAAAGATTATGTATCTCCGGTGCACGTGGTTGTGCACAACAGTTTCGGTCTTTGCACTTCCTTATATCAAGAGAATACTTACAAATTTGTGCATGCCGATCAATCCAATCCCACGATTCCTTTTCTATATCTAAAAAATCTGCCCGATCATGATCCTCAACGTATGTGGTAATAACTGGATGCCCATTGATATTATCCCGGCTCCAAAGTTCGCATAAACTTTCACCTGCATGTCTAAAATTATTACGTCCGAGATTCCTATCCGTAATTGTAATTTTTCCTTCAACACTTCCAAGATGGTTACCATACGTAAATGCATTTAACTCAACTCCAGCTAATTTTCCAGAAAGTGACGCCATACTCCTCTCTACTGGATTATAAGCTGACTGCCCTGGAGCATGTGTTCGGACCGTAAGATAATCAAGATCAAGTTTCTTAAAAAGTAATAGATATTTTGTGATGTTGGCAAGGAATCGAGGGTTTTCGTCCGGTCCACCATCAGTTAATAAGTACCAAAATGGTTTTACAGTATCTCCATTATGTGTAAACTCACGAAAATTTTCTTCTTTTGTTATTGACATGAGATCCACCATATGAGTTTCGCAAGTCGTGCTTAAGAAATATTCTGGGCGAATAAAAATTCGCACTTTACCAGAGCGTAATGAATCGTTCGTATCGGAAGGATTTATCAACAGATAGACAGATGGAACTAATTTGTGCTTTGCGGCTTTAGGAAAGTCATGATCAGGAACGGATACCGGCTCATTCGTTGTTTGTATGGTCTTGAATGTCCTTCCAACAGCAGCCATTCCAAGTGGAACCTATNTTGACATGAGATCCACCATATGAGTTTCGCAAGACGTGCTTAAGAAATATTCCGGGCGAATAAAAATTCGCACTTTACCAGAGCGTAATGAATCGTTCGTATCGGAAGGATTTATCAACAGATAGACAGACGGAACTAATTTGTGCTTTGCGGCTTTAGGAAAGTCATGATCAGGAACGGATACCGGCTCATTCGTTGTTTGTATGGTCTTGAATGTCCTTCCAACAGCAGCCATTCCAAGTGGAACCTATCGAAACTTAAATTAGAATTTAAAATAATAAAATTAAAAGAGAAAATTTAAAAAAATATTTAAATACCTTAGCTTTATCATCTTGCGAAATTATTAAAACGTCTTGAGGAAAAGCCGTTGCAAACGACTTCACGCCTTTGACTGATGCCAGGCAGTAATGTTCGTCAACATGGCTATTCATTTCGTCTCTTCTAACAGCTGCAAAACGAATCTGCGCGGGATGATGATGGCGCTGTGCCTCTTTCGATCCTGGATGTTTGGGTTGCATATAATTTTGCAACGTGGATTTAGCCATATAAATACCATAATCTTCGTCCATTTTTTCGCGAAAGTGCTTGATTGTACGCACTTTAATTATTTCTTTGTGTCGTTTATAATCTGCTGCTCCAAATTCAACACTCGCATGCATTTTTTCCAAAAGATCAGGATTTTTAATTAAAAATGACTGACGACCTGGTGTATCATACACTTCCACAATGTTTTCCTCTATATTTTCCTTCTTTTTCTTTCGTACTCGTTGCTGAGCTGCTGCATTGTTCCTCAACTTTTTAAGTCTATTTTCTTCTATTAATATTGTTTCCTCCAGCTTTTTAATACTTGAGACGAATTGGGAACGAAGTTCGTGTGATGATGCTGTTCGTAATAGATTGTTGTATTCATACAAGTCAACTTTAGACTTTTGAATAATATCAAGCGATTTTTTTTGTGCTGTTGCATTTGACGAAGGTTGAATATTATCAAATAGTTCGGGAGGATTCTCTAAAGGTATTAAGGGTCGTTTTTGAGATTCTTTTTGAGATTCACTTTGAGATTCTCCTACAGGTTCGTAAAAAGTGAAAGGGTAAGATCGAATGGGTGTACGTAGTAATTCAAAGATACGATTTTGAATATTTTCTTTATCTTCCTTTTTCACTTCTCGCCAACTATCTTGAGCTTGTTGGTGTAGTACTTTCTTGTTTGGTGTTTTATTGTGACTTTTTACCATTTCGCTGAATGCAAAGGCATTCACATATTGTTCATATAAATTTTTAGGACTTTGGATAAGGTAATTTTTGGAGTATTTCGGTTCTTTAAAATACGTTTGCTTCATTGCAGGAAAAGAACAAACGTATTAAATCTTGCAAAGGCCGCATAGTTCACAATCTACATTTAATAATTATGTAAAATAATTATGTAAAGTTATTATGTAAAGAAAAATATTTCAAAGCATATGCTTTTTTTACTGTGAGAATATAATTGATGATTCATATACTAAAAATGGAAAATCAAAATCGTGTGTAACGTCATCACAGGTTGACCCCCCCTTCCCCCTTTATTAAATTACGTAATTTCTGGCCATCCCCTAAAGGATTTTAGAACTAGTGAAAAAGTTAGTTTTATTTGTTATGCTTTTATGCTTTTTTTAGTTATATTAAAAATATTAAAAAACAATCTGACAAAACTTATAGTTATAAACGTACTTGAAACTTCTGTCAGAAAGAGAACAATTATCAGAAATATTATACAAGACATTTCTAAAACCTTATAGGTATAGTTCATATATTATGCTTAAATTTTCTGGCACTTCAGATATAACAGACAAACTTTTTTACAAAAGGCTAGAAAACAGCACAGTTTGAAATACCTTCTGTCTGTATTACACAATCAATATTGAATCAATTCCAAGAACTTTGAGATTACTTGAGAAACAGATAAATTTTCTCTTTCAACACCAGAAATAATTAGTGAAATGGATAGTACTCCTGGAGACAAAATCTCATCAAATTCCATATGTGATCAATGTGATGTAAAAGTCCAAACGGCAGAGGATCATTAATTATTCATTTGGGGCGGTACTAATAAGTTACTTCCAATTCAAACAAACTTTAGCGAATATGCAATAAAACTTCAACCTAAAGCACCAACATCTCCTTCTACAGGACGAGAAAAAGAATGTGATTCTGAAAAAAGAGGGCTGGGACTTCAGCAATTGTGCCAAAAACAATCTATTGGCACATTTAGCACACTGGAAACAAAACTTACCAATCTAACTACTTTTAATTTTAACGAAAGAGCAGGAAGTCAAGCCATCTTGCACAAATTGTCTTGCGACCTTGAAGCACAATACTTTCATGATGTTCCTTCACTTCTTAATATATTAAAAAGTTTTTATCCTTTTAATGAAATAAGCGGTGATGTCTTGGAAGATTATGAAATTAATGATTTCTTCAAGCTATATAATATTTCTAATATTCGTCCTATTCTTGCAAGTAATGATAATTATGTTTTTTGGTTAGAAGATACTGCTGATATTATTTATATGTGGTCTTGTGTAGAATAGTCTATGTCATATTTAGGACGTGAATTAAGAGAAGCTTTAGTAAACTACCTTTTTTACCAAGATAATATTTGTTATATTGTTGAGTTTACTCATGAAATTATACCAAAAAATGAAATCAAACAAAAAGCTAAAGAATTAGCAGATTTATGCAAGCCTATTAATATTGACGATATTGAGTGGAAAGTAACTAAAGAGTCTCTTAATTCAATAAAAAGAAACAAAAAAAAAAGGAGGAAAGAATAAGGGAAAAAATAAGAGAAAAAAAAAGAAAAAAAAGCACTAGCACTTTTGCTAGGCATTTAAATTTCATTCTACTCAATGAAAATTTTTGTAANTAGCACTTTTGCTAGGCATTTAAATTTCATTCTACTCAATGAAAATTTTTTTTTTTTGAGTCAAGCAGAATGTATAAATAATTTCTTTTATGTAATTTCGCTTTTAACATCAATTATTTTATAATTGTACAATATCTATTTTTGTCATTTTAGATACAATATTGTGTAATTCGCTAATATCCAATTAGTTTATACATATGTATATTTGTAATAACAAAATTTTATAATAATAAAAATATGAACATTTAATTTAATGATTAACAAACATATCCTTTCTATTACTTCACCTATAAATTCTCCCATCTACTTTCTGCTCGAGAGCCTTCTAATCCAAACTCTTTTACCCATTTTCCTATTTTTTAAAAATGCTATATTTTATAGTTTATGAACAGGTAAGAGAAATAAACACATTTTCTGATAAGGAAGGCTGAAAACTTACAGTCAATTAATACGAGACATATTTATCAACTGTTAAAAATATTAGTATAAATATTTACTCAGTTAATATATGTAAGGAATTGTTCAATGTTCAAAGAATTTCTGAAAAGAAAAATGCTGAGAAAATTTTTATTAATACAGGTAGAAGGGTAAAAAATAAATACAATAGTTCAGGATGCATCCCATTATACAGGTGATAGAAGTGAAATGAGTACGAAGTAAAATAAATACAAATGCTTAGAATTTTGTCTGTGATACATATACATGCTGCCCAAATTATTTTGGGATGCCATAATTATAATTTGGGATGCCATAATTCATTCGGTTTATATATAATTTACTATGTAAAGTGCCAAAATAATTTGGGATGCCATAATTGAATTTGGGATTTTACTTATAATTACGGCAGTTCAAAATAATTTGGGTGGCATGTATAGTGATACATAACTAATTTTCTATCTTAAGACTTAATGACAATATCTGATTTTTCCTTAAGGTTTCCCAATAACCTAAGCTTTTTTATTGCCTTCTCTTCACTTTGTGAAGCTGAATCCAGCTTTTATACCTTCTCTAACAACCATGTAATATGTCTGAGAATTCTTTCAATATTACTTCCTATGTTTTCACTATCATATACAATGGTTACTAGCTTCGATAGTTTGAATCTTAGCCTGTCCTGGTCATTGAGCAAACATTCCATAAAATACTATTCTTTTGTGTTTGTGATAATTCCAAAAGTTCTACCTGTAAACACACTTTTGTTTGCCTTATATTTGTGATTCAATAATGCGAATTTGAGCTATACAGCATTCTGGGCAATACCCTTAAAAATATTTTCATCCTTTACTTCTGTTACACCAATAGTTTTTGCAGTTTAGAATAAGTCTATTGTGAAATTAGCTGGTCTGTATCTATTGGGTTCTGTGATATTTTTTTCTAGTTGAAACTCAAACTTTTCTTCATATAGATTTATCCTGAAAATAAGGTATAAACAAACATATTGTGATTTTAATGCTTTATTCCTGCTGATTGAAATAGTCTTGAAACAGGTATTCAGTTCTGCAGTAAGATATTTAAGTATTGTCTTAGAAGAATTCTTTTTCAGTTCTTTATACTTGTAAATAAAAGGCGAAAACACTTATAATGAGTAATCGTCTGACTTGCAAGACCATAAAGCTGGTACACCTTCGGGAATGACTAATCTGATAATGGGTTTGATGGTATCTTAATAAACATGGTGAACTTGAGGTTGTTCTTTAACATGAATACGTGAAGCATTTCATTTCAAGGAGAGAATTTTTCGCCATCATTTAACATGCTAAGTTCCGCTCCATCATTGTTGAGTGCTGACGTTTTGTGCATTCCATGTATATATTCTTTAAGGCTATCAAGATCACGTGTTTAATATTTACGATCTACTTGAAGCTCTTCATCTGTTTCGGACTAACTACAACATCGAATGCTGTAATACGATAATTGGGTTAGTAAAACTTTTTGGGATGAGACGTCTCAAAGATTTTTTGGCAGAATTTTACGTACCATGCACAAACTTATTAAGTAGTGCACATAATGCACTGAGTTCATCAAGTAATTCCTGTTCGTGGCTTGAAGTGATGATTAAGACAGGTAGTTTGACTAGGATATAAATATGTTTTTTAGGTGGCTTATCAATCCAGTAGTCTTCAATTTCATTTATTGCGAACAGCTTGTTATTGCAGATTCTTTAACTGATCGTCAAAGTAATCGCCACCAATTTCTACCTTTTATAGCTGAATGTCTTTGGCATCAACACTAGTGAAAGTTTACAGATTTTCTGCCTTTATAGACTTCTTAAGGTCTCTAACAAGCTAGTATAAACAGAAAAAGTATTTACGAGTGTATTTCCTTTGATAAGACAGAGTAACATAATTGACATTTTCAAGTTTTATACTGTTTTTTGCAAAATGTTATTGGTTAAATGGCCATATATAAGGATAAGTGTGAAAAAATAGGTATTTGTAAAAAAATAATTAGTTATACAGACCCTGTCATATGACGCATTATTATGTAGTACAGTAGTTACATGTAGCTCAATAAACATCCTCTGAGCTGTTGATCGACATCCCAGATCTTTAGCATCGAAATCCAAATAATCGCAAAGTTTGAGGTAATTAAACACACCTATTATTCTATTCTCCCATATATTCTTTACTGTAATAAAACCTGTTGCCCTATCATATATATGTATATACTTAGTCCATTGGTCAGATTAGAGCTCTGAACAGGTCAGCCAAATTCAGGTAACCTGACCTGACCTGACCTGAAATTCAGGTCAGGTATGAGATTTTTGAAAAAAATTTAGGTCAAGTATGAAGATTGACCTGACCTGATTGACCTGTTGACCTGAAACTATAGATTCTACTATATAATAAAAGTGAGTTGCAATATTGTGATTCACTTTTTTATATTAATTCTATATAAAAAAAGCGAATTGCAGTATTGGGATTCACTTTTTTATATGATTTTAATATAAAAATGTTGAATCGTAATATTTTAAGAAAAAATGTTGCGAGAACGTTTTTTTCATAATATTATATTAAAAAAATGGTTTGTATGGTGCGGCGCATCTATACTCATCAACAGTCCAAAAATTTATTTTAGGCCGATCTTTACCAAATTAAGTAATAGTTTAGCCTTATTTGGTAACATCCCCATTGATCATTGCGTGATTTATTAAATTAGATTTACCTGATTGGCTCAAATCGTAATCACGTGGAAAATTGATTCCGAAATTTCACTATTTTACATAGACT